ATTTGTATGAATTGATGCAGAAAGAAGCAAACAGCAGCTGGAGAACAATTTACATTATAATGATGACATTGTAAAAATGATCAACTTTGAAAGACTTAAGAACTCTGGTCAATCCAATGAACAATAGAACCAATGATGAAGAACGCTATCTACCTCCTGACAGAAAACTGATAGGCTAAACAGGCAGAATGAGATTATTTTTTTTAATATTGTCAATTTGAGGATTTGTTTTGCTTGACTATGTATATTTATTCTTTTTATTTTTTTTGACTGGAGGGGAATGAATTTGAAAATATATATACTTATTAATGGAGGGAGGGAGGAAGGAATACGTGTTTATATAATTCTCCCTACTACTTCACTATTTCTTTTCTGATTAAATGATTTACTCTTCCAATGCCATTATTTGCTTTTGTCAATTAACATATTGAGTTGAAATCAGATGTTGACAAGTTTGAAGTCTTTTTCTTTTTTAACTGGTGGGTGCAAATGAGCCAGAGAAATAAGATATTATATAAAAGTCCTTGGGTTTGAACCCAAATCCATGAGAGTTCAGAATGGGTGGGATCCCCACAGCTATACAGATATACTTTTCAGACCAAGAACTCACCCACTGAAGATGTGATCAACTCAGAGCTAGAGATATACCTTTCTGCAAAGACCTGTATGCATCTGTCTGCCTCATCCTTTTGCCTAGGCACTTAGAGGAAAAGGGACCAGAATAGCTAGCCTACCTTCTCATTGGGAATTTTGCATCAGGAAAAGATTATAGTTCTTGCTTATGGGCAAATAGGCACTTTTTATTTCATTTAGCACACTAAATGTAGTTTGATGCTGTACAATTGTGAATTTGAAGTTGAGTTATCCTTATTTGGACAGTACAAACTGATATAAATATGATTCAGCAAAGCAAGTATGTACCCATAATATCCGTCAAGTAAATCTAAATATTAATTACTGTTAATAAAAAAGTATGAAGGACACCAATTGTGACCAGATGACTGAGACAACTTCATTTTGTCATTGTGCCCCCTTGTTAAAAACAGTGCCAGGCAGATAGCGGACTCTCCTCTCCACACCATCCCCCATCCACCTGCCTAAATTCCAGGTCTAACCATGCCACTCCCCTCTTCAAGGACCTCTAATAGTTACCTTTTGACCAGGATCGGATCCAAACTCATCTGTTATTTAAAGCCCTTCACAATATGACTGCAGCCCATCTTTCTAAACTTGGTATGTTTTTTTTCCACATTTTACCCAGTCTAAACGCCAACTGGCCTACCTCTTGTCTTTCACACACAATATTTCATCACTCTTCTCTGAACCTTTACACAAGCCATTCCCAGTACCTAGAATGCATCCCTTCCTCACTTTGCCTCTGAGAATCAGTAATCTCTTTTAATGTTCAATTCAAGCAGGGCCTATTACATGAGATCTTTCCTTACCCCTTCAGTAAGTGTTTACCCTCAGTCCCATCAAATTTACTTGTGTTTACATTGTATTTATTTTCTACCTATGTTGGTACATATGTTACCTGACATGCCATAAGCACTTAATAAATTTGTGTGAAATGAATAGTTACCTCACTGATATAGGTCAAATTGCCAAAATGGCCTCATTGAGCATATCATGGTCATTTTAGTCATCCAACTGATTCATTCCTGCTGAGATCCCCTCACTTAATCCACACGTATGTGGCAAAGTGTTAATCTAGCAGCCACACATATGGATCTGGTCTGAATTCTAAAGCAGCCTAGCTTTACTTCACAACTCAAGAAAAACTGACTGAGCACTTACCACATGCCTGATCCTGTGCTGGCCCCTCTGGGGATGACAAAGGGAAGATGCTTTTTTGAAGGTGCCTTCCCTCAAAACTCACATATGGGAAACAATGAGATAACAGGCTGGGGTGAAGATGTTCAAGTCAGTGACATTCTCTAAGAACAGCATGGCTTCCCGTGTGGGAGACAATGCAGTGCTGTTTCTTTTTTCTCTCTATAGCAAGTTAGAAATGCCATTTTCAATGTCTATTCTCCAATGTATAGGAAGAACATTCAAAGTGGGAGGAAAGGGGGTTCAGCAAAACATATTCTCACTGGTTTTGATAAAAAGGGCTTGTGATGAAAACAGCATTTCTAATAAGGATTCTCCTAAGTGACTTATGTGCCAAATATTATAAAACAGAATAAAATACTGTGTTAAATGTCCTCACTGATTTAAAGTTGTTGCTCTCAATCATTCAGGCCTAAGAATTCAAATTTTCTCAAGAGGTGATTAAATATTTATCATCTAAAGTTAGTAAAATTGTGAAATTATTCATTGCCCAAATTTTTAAATATTCCAACTATATGGGGAGAAAAGGGAACATCTGGGGAATAGCTTGATCTCCTCGTGGTTATTCAGGCTCTTCTTTCTTAACCTCCCACCCCGTTACCTATGCCAGGAATGAAATGATGGATTAATTAGATTTCATGAATCAGCACTTTGCCCCCTCCCTGAAACTTCTGCAAATGTTCTAAAGAAGAAAATGTTATAAAAACTTGACAGTACAGATCCCTGAGATAACAAAATTTTTTTATAGTACAAAGACATATTTGCTTGTTCTGGGCCTCCTTTCAGTAAATATGCTTGTCTTTTATTGTAGGCATCATTTTACCAACAAGAGTACTACGCAAGATGGAAAACTGAGCTCTCTCTCTGTTTCTCTCTCTGTCTTTCTCTTTCTCTCTTCCCAAATATATATATATATATATATATATATATATATATACACACACACACACACATATATATGCATATATATACACATATGCATATATATATGTGTATATATATATACATACATACATATATATTTGTATACTATACACATATGTACACATATATATTTTATTTTCTCATGAAAAACCTTCATAAAAGACTCCAAATCTAGCAAATAACTTTATAATTAAGTATTTGGCAAGTAGATATGTTGCACATCAGCTGAGACAAAAGAAAAAAACAGAAAGTTCAGAGTCTCATAGGAATATAGATATATAGCTGGAAGGGATTTCAGAGGCTGTCTAGTCTGATGTCTTCATTTTTAGAAAAGGAAAGCAATGCCCGGAATGGTTAAATGATTCATCCCAAGGTCCCACAGGTATTAAATCTCACTTGGGACTTGAAGTTTTCTGATGCCCGAGCTAATGCTCTTTCCACAACATCACAATTATATAGTAACCTATCAAAGGTGAGATATCCCAAATGACACACCAACCCAACTGAGAAAATTACTTCTTGTAGTTCCCATCTTCTAGAATTGGAGTTTTGTTCAATTTTTGGTCTATGGGTCCTTCTCTTTAAAAAGTATATATAATTAAAATCAAACAGAACTAGGCTTGATTCTGGGATAGGACATTGGGTTTAGAGTCAGAAAAACTTAGATTCAAATCTTGCTCCAGACAGGTACTAGTTGCACGACACTATACAATTTACTTAATCTCTCTGTGCCTCAGTTTCTTCATCCAAAAATTGAGAATCTTGGACTCAATGATTTCTAAGAGGTCCCATCCAGCTCTAAATTAACAACTGCATTTTCCTGTGTGACGTATGGAAAGTACCTGTTTTCTAGACATCCTAGCAAGACTCTGGAAAGCCTACCTCATGTCACTGCTTGAGGCATGAAAAAAAGTGGTCACAGCTCTTTCCCTCTTTGGAAGAACATGCAATCAGGGAAAGAGGTGAGTTGCAAATGAGAAGAAATCAGAGCATTTTCCCACTGGTCCATCTAAGTCTGAAAGGGACATGAGGATGCATCACTAGGGTACCAGTTCCCAGATTGTATCATATACCACAGTACTAAAGATTTCCAGAGTCAATCTATCCTCCATTATAGGTAGTGCTACTGGTGAAATAAAGCAAGGACCCAGAAAGTAAACTAGGGAAGGAAAGGGTAGAGGTCAGTCAAATAAGTAATATTGACTAAAATTCTACTATATGTTGAGTGATTCAGTAGTGAATGTGATCTACCCTTTCCCTCAAGGGGCTTACTACTTAGTTTTGTTTCTTTCTTTTTCTTCCACCCATTTCTTTTCATTGGTTTAGAGGGGTGAGGAACCTGTGGCCTCAAGACCACATGTGGCCCTCTAGGTCCTCAGGTGAAGCCCTTTGACTGAATTTAAACTTCACAGAATAAATCCCCTTAATAAAAGGATTTATTGTGCAAAATTTGGACTCAGTCAAAAGGCCAAATCTTAGGACCTATAAGGTCACATGTGGCCTCATGGCCCCAGGTTCCCCACCCCTGATTAGAGCTTCTAAGAGACAGAGATGAGGAGAAATTGAATTCTATTAATCAATATTTGTTGTTGTTGATTCGTTTTTCAGTCATGCCTGACTCTCTGTGTCCCCATTTGAGGTTTTCTTGGCAAAAATACCATATTGGTTTGCCATTTTGTCTTCCAATTCATTTTACAGAGGAAGAAAATGAGGCAAATAAGGTGAAGTGACTTGTCCAAGGTCACATAACTAGTAAGTGTCTGAGGTCAGATTTGAATTCATGAAAAGGAGTCTTCCTGACTCCAAGCTCAGTACTCTATCCACTGTGCCACCTAGCTGGCACTGTGCTAGCACCAGGGAGACACACACACACACAAAAGCAGGACAGTTTCTGTCCTCAGAGAGATTGCAATCTAATTCTAGGCATCAGAGATAACCTATGTAAAGGCATAGACACAGCACATGGAATGTCATTCGCGAGGAACAGCAAAATGGTCAGTTTGGATAGACCAGAGATTGCAAGAATGGGAGGAATATATAATAAGGCTGGAAGTCCGACCTAGATTGTGAAGAGCTTTTTAGAAGTTAAAAGAGGATATCTGCCCCTTCCACATTACCTTCTGGACATACTGTCTCACAAAGAGGTACCACCTTTTTTCCCCTCCAGAAGCAGATCTATTTCATCAAATGGAGTTTTGTCCATTTCATCATCATAAGTTACTTTTGCCACAGTCACAACTTACCTTGCCTACATCCCTGGGAAAAGGCTGTCTCTGATTTTCGGGAATTAAGATGGGTGACACCACAATGGACCGTTTCTGTCTCGGGACTGCCGAAGTCCTAGCAAATGTAAAGATTTCCTGAAAAAGAGAGAAATAAACCAAATCTATTTACTAAAAATCTTTCCAGGAAAGAGCTATCATGCCTTACACATCCTTCTTTTTGCCTGAAAACTCACAGCTGGTTGGATATTGTTAAAATATTCCATCAAAAATCATTAACAGAAAGTACCTCATTACAATCATACTAAATCTGACATTGTGACTCATAGTGATGGTCATTAAGCTATTTCATCTACTCCTCTGAATCATTTTATTCACCCTGTCAGTCTTGATTTACACATCACCCAATGCTGGAATGTTACTCTACTTAACCTGTCAGGTAGGTGGATTTCTGACTCCTGAAAAGCCATAGTCAAACCTCTGCATAAAAAAGTGGGTCCTCCATGCCAGGTTAGCCACCTGTTAGTAGCACAACAGGTCCCCAAAGACCAGAGCTCAGCCACAAGGAAGCTCAGCCAAAGCACTGACTATATCAGAAAATCAACACTACCATCCCCTAACCCTCAATGAGCCACATTTCAGCATGGTGGGATATAACTCTGAAACTATTTATGGATTGTTTCTGGATCCTTTCCCCACCTTTCACATCTTGAAATTCTGAGAACAGTCTCTGGAGCCCCATTACAACAAGCTGGCTATTAGACACTAGGGTAATGATGTTGGAGCTCCCCGCTGGTTTCCATATTTACTTCAGGATCTGAACCAAAGGTAATTCTCTCCCCTTAAGGCTCAACTCAAAGAATCTTTTAATGTTGTGTCATTTCTTAATTTTAGAAAACATGAAAATTAAAGTTCCAATGTAACTTCAGGTAACAAATGCACGTATGGCTTTTTAATATTGTTTTCTTTTGCATTAGAACTGCAAAGCACTAATATTTAATGAAAAAATAACACAATGAATTTTTTAATCTTAAGGAGAAGGTAAAATCAGTGGTCCTGGAGTCACAACACTCGAGTTCATATCCCAGCTCTGCCATTTACCACCAGTGTGATCTTGGGCAACTCACTCAATCACCTTGGGCCTCAGTTTCCTCATCTGCAAAATAAGGGCACTGAACTAGACAGACTCTAGATCTATGATCCTATGAAATGGACTAATGAGAAATGCAACTCTTATTCTCTGTCCTTAATTATAGAGACAGAATCAATCAATCAGTTAATAAACATGTATTAATTTCCTACTATTTGCCAGGCACTATGATCTGGTTCAATGGCTTGGGCTAAGAATCAAGAGCTGGATTCTTATTAGTCGTTAAACTATTTCTACTTAAGAGAACTTGAGATCAAGGGGGGAGGGAGAAAACACTATTCTTACATCTGAATACAGCTTTGCAGTTTATAAAGTATTTTTCTCACTTGATCTCACCAATTCCAAGATGTAGGCAGAGTAGTTATTATTATTCACTTTTTATAGAAAAGGAAAATGAAGTTTCGTGCAATGAAAGGTGATATTATACTATCCCAAATCTTTTGAAGTTCAGATCTGCTTCGTTTATGTAAATGACGTGTTTCAAAGAATCCAACTTGTTTGAGGAAGGTTGAAGGAAATGAGTTAAAGGAACTGTTTCTTCTTCTATAAATTCAGAACCTGAACTCTGTCTCCTGACCCTATGCATTTGCCATGGCTATCTTTCACACCTAGAATGCCCAACTCATGTGTCATCTCTCCAAGAAGGCTTTCTGGATTCCTTTAGCTGTTATTGAACTCTCCCTCCTTTGAGGATATGTGATAAACTCCCAGTGAACTATAAAGTCCTTGAGGGCAGGGACTTCTTTCAATTTGTATTTATATCCACAACCCCTTGCAATAATAGCAGGTATTTAATAAATCCTTATTATAGTCATTTGGACTAGTTGATATCTAGGATCTCATATTTTTATAAGACTTGGAGTCTAAAATTCTTTTACTCTCTCAGAAAGCCCATGATGCCATTTTCAACAACAAGTCAAAAAAATTTTATATACTCAATTTGCAATGGACCTCAAATGCCATCCAAAAACTATATTAAAGGTCAATAAGCATTTGTGAAATGATTACTACAGGCCAGGAATACATAGAATCGCCCGTATAATATCCCAGAAAAACAGTCATCCAGTCTCAACTTGAAGAGCTCCAATGACTGGGGAACCCACTCTATCTGGAAGTAGCCCAGCCCACTTATAGTCACCTTTAATTGTTGGAAAGTTCTTTGTTTCTCCCCTATGTGGAACTAAAATCTAAGTCTCTGTAGCTTCCATATATTGCACCTACTTGGGGAATCTGGGAATAAGCAAAGCTAGACTAATGTCTTTTACAGCACACTCCTTCAAATACCTGAAGACAGTGATCACTTCCCCATTAGTCTTATCCTCTGTAGGCCTAACAAACTTCATGCCTTCTAACAATATTTGTATGTCATGGTATCCTTGATTATGTTAGTTACCCTTCTTTAGACATGTTTCACCTTGTTAATGTAGTTCCTTAATCGTGGTGCCTAGAACTAAAAATATAGGTATAATGTGACTAGGATAGAAACAACAGAACTATTACCTCCCTTGTTCTAGACACTCTACCTCTCTTAATGCAACCTAAGGTCAAATTAGCATTCTTTAGCTATAACTATTCTATTTTTCTATTTAGCTCAGAGTCAGTCTCCTTAAAGCCCCATATCTTTCTATCCACCATTTGGCAATCTTATACTTGACTGTTGATTTCAAATATAGGATTTTATATTTATCCTAATACATTTTCATTTTATTGGATTTTATCTAGTGTCTTGGTTTGCATAAACCTTGAATTCTGACTGATACTGAATTCTGAATTATTGGCCATTCAAAATATTAGCTTTCTTCCCACTTCATGTCATTTGCATTTTTATAAGTGTTAGCCATGTCTTCATCCATGATGTGGACTGCAGAGGTTGAAAAGCATAGGACCAAAGACAGATCCCTGGGGTACTTTACAAAAGACCTCCTTCCAAGTGGACATTAATCCATTAATTACTACTCTGTGGGGGAAGTCATTCAACCAGTTCCTAATCCACTAAAGACTGTGGCACTTTGCAGTTTACAGTATGCTTCATTATCTGATTTTATCTTTATGACTACCCTGTGGGTTAGGTAGTATAAGTATTATTATCTCTATTATATTATATATAATGAGAAAACTGAGGCATAGAAAAGTGAGTTATTCTAAGTCAAAAGGTAGTACTGTGATACTTTGAATTAAAAACTCAGAGAAGAAAGGGACCTAAGATACTGTCTTGTCCTATTAATATCGGAACAGGAATCACTTCTATAAAACCCCAAAATAGCTAATAAACAATCACTAGACTATGCTTGAGAGCCATTGGTGATTGGTAATTTGCTACTCCTAGACAACCCATACCATTTGAGGTAACACTGATTGTTAGGAAGCTTTATTTTGTTTCAAGATGAAAGCTAAAAAAAAAGATTTCTTTCCATTTTTCCTCCTGTGAATATACTACCCATCTCAAGGGAGTGTTGTGAACAACATGCTTTATAAATCTGTAAGTGCTACGTAAAGGTGAGCTATTATTATTATTCCCTATAGCTTCTAAATGATATCTTCAGGGTCCTCAACCTTCTGCTTCTTTAGGCATCAACAGATTGATGTTACTTTCACAGGCCATGACTGTTCTCAGCTGCTATTTCATTCTCCTTGATTCATCTTTAAATGTATTTGTTCTCAACTTTAGCATGCATTATCTTACAAGTATGTTTCCAACCTGTAATTCTAAATAGGGATGGCTCATAGCTCTGACTCATTACCCTTAAAACAGACTTTTTTTTTCTTACAGAATAACTGAATTTAAGAATTAGAAAAGTTTTTACGAGCCACATAGTTCAACCCCTTATTTGGCCAAGAATGCCCTCTGCATCCCACTCAAGCGGTCATCCAGCTTTTGTATGAAGACTTCCAGTGATGGGGAGCCCACTGCCTCTATAGGCAGTTCATTCCACTGTTGCATCTTTTAGCAAGTTTTTCTTTATTTCATACTTAACATAGCCCTCTTCCAACTTTCATTCAGGGCTTCCAGTTTTTTTTTTCTCTGCAGCTGAGTAGGATGAATTTAAACTCTTTTCTTATTAAATATGAGAATGTTGGCCTCATGACAATATGATGTCACTTATTCCAAAAGCATGCCTGTCAGTGTATCTTTGCTTGGTCTTAAAGAGGGAATTCAGTCTTGTTCCGTACAGAGATTTCTCTCATCTTTGTTTGGCATGTCCTATGACTTTCCTAAGTTCACCTCTCATTCAACTGTGACCCCTAATATAGGCTATATATTCTTTTATATTCTTATCAGTGTTTGCAGCAGGATTTGGGTAAAATTCTTGTAATCAGTTTCAATAATGCTAGTAACCTCAAGTTTCTAAATCCACCTTGCCTCCACTGTGGGTACCATGGTCAATTTTTTTTTGTTTTTTTATATGGAAGAATCTGTATTCTCATTCATAGAATATTGAGATTGGAGACAGAAGACTTGGGTTTAAATAGACATATGTCAAGATTATGTTGGATTTTTCCATTGGCCCTCTCCTTCCCCTGGGGGAAGTACACACTGCGGCAATGCTACTGGATGCAACAGCATCCTGCTAAGAGTAAGGAAACTGAGGTCCACAGAGATGAAATGATATGTACAAGATCATATACCTAATGCTAGAACTAGGACTTGAGCTCAGGTCTGTTGACCTTGACTTAGAGATTTCTTTCCAATATGTCACATCCAGGACCAAACAGATGCCATGGAGAATACCTTACATTCTCAGCAGCTAATTGAGCCTTGAGCTTTATAAGCATCTGCCCAAAGAAAGTGAATGAGAAGGAAGAGACAATACCAGGGAGCTTTCAAATTCTCCACAAACAGAGATGTTCATAGGGAGTGGGGAACGAAAATTTTGAGGAGTTATGAGATTGTCATTAAAAGAACTGCACAGAAAAAAAGACTGGATGATCAGGGGCCTCATTTTTTTAAGGACCACATTTTCTCAACTTGAGGGATAGACTCTCTTGG